TGCAACGAAATCTGCTTGGGACTCATTCGTTGAATTCCAGCTTATGCTTACTCCCTGGACCCAGCCGCATCGTTTCCCGGCTATTCACGTGAAGCAAAGATTCTTTGCTATGGATGGTCGGATAGTGGATCAGTGGTGCATCCGTTGTCGACAGATAGGAGCTGCCTAGCGATGAACGCGATAGCGAATGGCAAGGTTCGCCAGCGAAATGCCTCAGAAAGCTTCAAAGAGAGGTTTCAAACATGATTTCAGATTACTTACTCCGCGCCACCCTCGTCTATCTATTCCATAGGAACCACGGCAACACTTGTATGTGACGAAGGTTACTTAGGTGGCGGTCAAAGCGCTGTGCTTTGTGTTAAAACAGGATGGTACCCTTCAAGTGGACTTGGCTACTGCGTTAAGCGGAACGGTGAGTCATATGAAGGCAGGGAGATGCACAGTGAGAAAAAGAGTAAGGAAGTTAAGGTTGGATCCGAAGGTGAAGTTACGATGTAGAGATATGTACTTACTTACTTTACTTTGATACTTTGATAGTCCATCAACTGGCGTTCTCAGGGGACCACAGCTCTTCCACATAGCCCGATTTTTGGCAACTTGCATCCAATGTAGGCCGCGTTCTCTGAAAAATTTGAAAACGAGTCGGCCCACCGAGTTGGCGGTCGTCCTAAGGGTCTCGTTTTGTCTCTTGGGAGCCACTCCGTCACGCGTAGACTCCATCAGTGCGACGAAGTAAATGACCGGCCCATCGATGCTTCAATTGCGCCATGTAAAGAAGCGGATCTTTCAAGCGTGATCGTTCCTTCAATTCTGAGCTACGTATGCTTTGCTGCCATTGCTGTCGTCTGCTGATTTTTAGAAAACATCTTTTTAATGCACGATCAGCAGTTTGCATGACCTTGGCCATGGATGAAAAGATAGCAAGCTAGAAATCAAGGAAGAGTGCCGTGTGTTGGGTGCATGAATGAAGAAAAAGCTATGAATAATGGCCCGGACCCTAGAGCTGGGATTCCTTCTTTGCGCGTTGATTTCATAGATGTAATTCTCATCGGTGTTCCCCTTTTCACGCTAATGCTCTTTCTGTTAAATAGCTAAAAACTGCGAGAATTTGGGTGTACCACGTCGCGATCGGCACGGGTATGACGTAAGCAAACCAGCCCTTTTGGGGCTTCGGCTGGGACCGTGTGCTGAATGTTGGGGAAGGGATGGAGTACACATTTGACGGGACGCGCCCCATCCTGAAGCATACTGCTTTTTGTTAATATCCCTTTTCCGACCTCTGACATTATCTTGATACCTTTCTGAGATCCAGACAAACGCGCATCACAGCAATTTTGGCTTGACGCGGTAATCCTTGTGCGACGGTCATGGGACAAGCCGACGCGCAACTGCCATTCACAGTTTAGTGTCCTCTGAAGAAGCAACTGGGAGATCGCAGAAATCAAGCGAAAAAAGGTGACCTAATGTGGACAATCAAAGGGTTAGACATTTTAACGATATATGGGAAGGTAAGCTAGAAAAAGGAGTTGGATACGAGGACTGCATTCACAGCGTAAAAAAGTGAAATAGGTAAAGAGGACTAAATCACGAATCTGATCGAGATATGTGTCTTTCGTGCCGTTAAAGAAAAGAATGAAGTAGAAGATGGAAGAGACGGTTTCAGCAAAAGAGAAGCCAAAAGAGCTACAGAAATTACGAGAATCATTCACCGATGGAAAAATCGGAGGAAGCTCGAAGTGAGTATTTGGGCAGGGTGGAAGGTCTTTGGGTTTTCCCCAAGAGGCCGATCGCGCGGCGACGGAAGAGACGCAGATCGCGTTCAAAGGACGAGTCGCAGCGCGTGCTGTGCGATATGAGACGTAGCATTGTACACTCTATTAAACCTGACGCCCTAGCCGGCTACAGTATGCGCTGCGACTCATCCTTTGCTGCGTCTGCGTCTCTTACTTCGCCGCGCGTATGGGCCTCTTTCTGTATGCACTCGAGGCATTAAGACCATTGTCGAGCACTGTGTGACTGTGCGAACGTGCGAGAGCCCTCGTTCGGGGATTCTGCTTACCAAACTTATCAAGAAGGCTCCTCTATGGACCTGATCGCAACCCGTGCCTTCGAAAAGGGACCAAACATTATTAAATAAAGAAATCATTGAGAGAATTGGAGCGAGATATATCCAAATTGCTGCTCTCTATAGATAGTGGAAGAATTATAAAGAGAGAAAGAAGAGAAGTATTACAAAAGAGGATCCAAGTAGCGAAAAAATGATTAGTCAAGTGATTCGAGAGTGTAAGAGAATAAAGGAAACGATTTCAATTTAGATTCTTTTCTCAATGCCGGTTCGGTAAAGGCCGCCTCATCAGCTTCACTCGAATGCGCCGCACTGGGAGGAATTTCTGATGGGCAGCTCATCTATAGTACACTGGCAATAGCAGGTGCCTGACTTCTCGAAACTCTATTACTTTCGTATTGCTGAAAAATGTCATTAAAATTGCAACCTTTGGTTTTTTCTGATAGTATTTTTAAAGATTTCCATGGGATTTTTTTCTAGTCCATGCGTCAGAATTTGAGGGCATGAGATCCACTATTTCGGGGCAGCGCGAAGAGGATAATGTACTAACTTCATAGCTATATTTTTCTCTCACCTGTTATTGTTTCTTTGCTTTACAGATTTACCTCACGAGGAAGGGATACTGAGATGGGTGAATTTTTCGGATAGTACTAATAAATTAAAAGTATTGGGCGTACGCTATTGGGCGTACACTACCAGTATCGGGTTCGACTCAGACATCCCCTTTCTTCTGCTTCGGGCAACTTGTGCCGTGGAATTCCGCGAAATTTATTATAATTTCGCTTAAATTCGGAATCCACTACCTTTCCTGAAGATGGTTTCTGTTAACTCATGCCCATCCTTTTTCCCCTCTACCCGTCGCTATTAAAACGCACTACCAGCACTATGACCAGTGCACTGATGGCGTGTCCACCTTATAAGTAGTTAGCTCGATTTTTACTGTCTGATCTATATTATTTTCATCGACTAGGTTGCTGCCAGTTACTGGAGCAACCTAGCCGATAAAAACTGGTGCTCCCATCCTTTTACATGCTTCCTCATTGCTTGCAAGTAACTTTCAGAACTCATATTCTTCCCTTACTTGTCTTCAGTCGAAAGCAGTTCTTTATAAGTAGTCGGTGGCCAAGACAGCACTTTTGATAACATGTGTACAAAACTTATTTCTGCAGTGCCGAAGTTCAAAACTGCGCCAATTAGTGTCATCCGTCTGTTTGGACAGTGGGGGCGGGGGTCGAGAGGAAATTTTAATTAGAGGGGGTGTATTTGGGGATTGGCCAAGCCAACTATACTTTCGAACAGTAGGAGGGAGAGGGGGGGGGGTAGATCGTACTTGTGGGTGATGTGACCTCTTCAGGTGTGGTGTGAAGTCGTATCGATACTCCTCTAAAAGAAGGGGGAGGGGTGGGAAGAGGCTGTAAAGATACATACACACAAGGTCGGGATCAAATTTCATCTTGAAAAGATCGAATCAGTCAAGATTCGGTCCTTCAAAATAATTCAAAATTGAAGCAGTTGGCTCATCGATGAGGAATGAAACATCGGTTTATTCATAGCTTTCATTGTATAGAGAAAGCATCCAATGCTACATTGAACGAAGTTGGACTACTTCAGATGTGAGAGATGATTGCCGAAATTTCTTCTTTTAATTCCGTATGACTGATGTAGAGGTTTTCACTCAATTTAAGTTGATTTAACTAGAATTCCAGGTCGATTTCTGCAAGGAACGCGTGTTACCGTGGTTTGCAATATTGGATTCAATGTGTTCGGCTCGATTGACGCTGATTGCATCGGTGGCCGATGGAGTCGAAAATTGGGTGTATGCCAGTCGAACCTGGAAACCAATTTGTCCACCACTCTCATCAAAGTTTCCGGCTAGGGTGAGCTCAGTTTCTGACTATGTGACAGCCTTTCAAACAGCTCGCCATAATTCTACTATTGGTAAGGCAATTCAAGGAGTTCGTTGGAGAAAGTGGTCCATATTCACACTATTATTACCACTGTTGATTGATTTCAAACAGAATTGCCTGACAACAACACTACGATACATAGGACAGAGAATGGATATAAATCGTCCAGAGTGACCTGTCCCAAGGATGAGCCGCGCATTCGACTTCTACTCAGAATCACCTTGGAATATCTATCTGTTTTATGTATGCCTTCAGCTCGCACAATAACCTGCTTACCCGATATTCTCGCGCATTATTTCTATCTCGGATGGCTCAATTTACAGATTGGCCGTTTGATTAGTCTGGACGGGAAATGCTCATGCACTGAGAGCGTGTGACGGTGGCGGTGTTGCAGTCGCCCTATGTATCCATTATTTCAATTTCTTTCGCATCTATGCTAATGTCTCAATGAACCCTCAGACTGCGCCGGAGCCTTCTCAGAGCGAAATTTTACTCCATCCGGTCTCTCGGGACGTTAAAGGTTATCGTTATGATGACAGGCAGCCTGTCTTGGAAGTGGCTTCTTCGAGTCGTAAATGGTCTCAATGAGATTTTGACACTGATTCGCCTTCGAATCAAGGGCCGGATTTTTGATGCTCGCGGATGCGCAAGTGGCTCGTTTCCTCGCAATTTGACATTCAGTCTTCTGCCGCGGTTACGGTGTGTCGGCTGACTTAGAGTTGATATCGTTGGCCCCAGTTGGGTGGGAGTAAGGGTACAAAGACACTTCAGAAACGAGCGCTTTAATTTGCGTAAGCCAGCAATCTCTCAGGGAGCAAGGTTTTCATCCATAATAATAGATTTGCCTAGGTGGGATTTTGCAGGCAATGGAGCGATTCATTTGTTATGATCTGGGGCAAGGGCCTATACTCACTTCGGCTTGTTACGAACGAGTACGATTCGTTGCAAACATCAGGTACCGGGGGGGGGGGAGTGCGGGACTTTTGGCCCGTCCGGGCTGGCACGCGGCGAATTGCGCGAAGATCTGAACAGGACAAGGCGCTGCAATAGAATTCAACGCGTCAAACTGTGTACAGGGGTTTTGGATAAATTTCGCAGAGAAACGTTTGTTATCGAGTAAGAATACACAGCATACTAGTGGCAACGGGCCAGGGATTAGATAGCATTGGTTCCGTTACTTAAAAGACTATTTTTCTGTGATATTCATCCAGAAAGTCTTGATGGCTAACTGAAGCAATTCTGGAGGGTATGACATACCACAATAGAAGCTGCGAAAATCTAAAAATTGCTTAGATTTCGTTGAAACTTCAGTAGATTCGCAAATTTTGGAAGAGAATTCCTAAAAATCTTTTGAACTTCCTCGGAAATTCCGACGCCATGCCACACTGCCAATTCCACTCAATTCATCTTTATTGAGAAGTTTCCAACATAACCTTTTGGGTTGAAGCCTTGACAGAGCACACTACCTTCTAGATAACACTACACGTGTGTTCTTTTTTATATGCTTTTTGGAGGTGAACAAATGGCGTACTACGAAGATTGAGAAAACTATAAGTATATCACAAAGTGATTCACAGCATCGTCGTGAATTCCAACGGTTTCAGATTACCTACAACTCATTGCCGCCGTACATGCCGTCAGCAACTGCGACTCTCACATGCGATCTCGGGCTTGCTGCATCCGGTGTTTCTACACTGACCTGTACTGAAGAGGGCTGGTCACCAAGTGTTGGATTCGGAGAGTGTCGAACGGTCAGTTCGGGATTGAAACTCGCCGATTGGCACTGGTTGAATTTATTCAGCCGGCTATATACAGACACGAAGTCCAAATTATGGAATTTGCGAGATTTGGTACTTATTCGTATGTACAGGGTGCGCCAAAATTACGGAGACAGCGACTTCGAGTTGCCTAGGATGAGCAAGGTGCAATTCTTTGAAAACAAAAATGCAGTGACGTGCACAGTCCCATTCTGAATCGTCGACATCCATGCAATTTTTGAAATTCCTTGGTTTGTGTTTATACGGGTCCTCAGAAACATCGATTCCAAGACATATGTGTTTTATGCAAGCCTCAGCTTCTAGAACGGATCCGACAGCGTACCCTATCGAGCTCAGATCTGAAATGCTGTTCTACCACCGTTTAAGCCGACAAATCGATCGGTTCTGCATCAATGCTGCACTAGTACTGAACCACCCTTGCCTCGTAAACGGGAGCTCCTACTTGATGGAAGGCCCAGCAACGATTTTCAAAGTGAAAATAAACTCAGGATAGCAATGGGCTCTGATAAGTCCAAAAGAGCCCCCTGATTCCTATCTCTCGTGACATCCAGTGAAACCAGCGCGTCAACTACCTGCAAATTCTATCGCACACAATCCTTAGATTGTTCGTGGTCGCCACAGAAACACGCCCTTCTCATCCAGAATGACTGCATTCAGCTCCTTGTCCCCTGTACCACTTGGAGCATCTATTGATAGTGCTCGGGTATACACCAAAACGATGATAATTGTCGCGTGCCAAAAACCCTCAACGTCGAAGTCCAATGATTTAGGGACGGTGTCAGTATCAGTCAACCGCTGCAGCTACCATAGATTTTGGTGGTTGAACAAGGTAAGCATAAACAATTCTACACCACAGTACCAAAACTAGGACAGAAGAAAACAGCATCTGTGAATATCAGTTCAAATTGTTTGCTCATGCGTTGTCTCCGTAATTTTTGGCGCACCCTGTA